GGAAATGTATTTATATTACAACTTGGTAGTCTGGCTTCTGTTAGCTCATTCCATACTGGAGTTGTCACAACATACCCATCTGCTTCTTACCCACACAGCACAGATGGTTGGATTTTCCAGGTGGAGAAGTCTCTCCTATTACCTTCCTAACATTCTTGTCTTTTTAGGGTGTCTTTTTCAATACCTAACTCTGTCAGACACATACTTCTCCTCTTTGACTGCTTTTGATAGTTTTCAGTTATCCATGCCATTACTGTTAACTATTTTACTGCTAGCGAGGTTCTATCATGTTGGGGGTTATGGCTTCTATGGAAGCACTTATTCCCTTGGGTCTGGCACATATGCAATCTCGTTAGGGGACACTGCATGACCCATGGAATCTTGATAGGGTTCCTTTGGATTGCCCTTGTATCCTTCCTCTTTTCCTTTTTGGATGATATATGTTGGTAGTCAAACAAAGCCCCCATGTCATTGAGACCACTTCATTCCCTTTGTCCAGATTTGTTTCTCTTCCCTGATGCTTACCTCTGGGGTTGGGGGTATGGATCAATCAGCATGAGGCTTCAGGACAATGGTATATGGCCAGTAGGTCTTACCATGTTCACATCCTGGAACTTTTGGCAGTCTAATGTGCTTTGGTTCACTTTCTTCCTATTGTCAGAATTCGACTAATCATGATTTGATGGTGGTGGCTTATATAATTCACCAAGGAGGCACCCATTCTAATTCCCTTTGTGGTTGACCTTGTATCTCCCTTTTTTGGCCCACACATTTGATGTATGTATCCTAGTATGTCATGTTTCGGATGCTTTCAACCTTGTTGCGGATCACCTTTCCAGTCCCAACATACTTTATCCCATGAATGGTCTTTTGATCTTCAAAATGTTCTGGTAGCTCTGACTCCAGTGTGGTACTTCTCAGCAGGTTACATTTGCATCTTTTCTCAATTCCAAGTTACCTCTTTTTCTTTCTTTTTTTTTGGTCTTCAGTTCCTCATTCACTTGCCCTGGTTGTCCATTTGTTTAGACAGGATTGGACAAGTTTATACCTTTATTTTATTATCCTGTCAATCATCTTCCCCAGATTATTTTGTTCATCCTTGCCACTCTGTGTCAGGTTTTTCTGATTGCTTCTTCCTGGCCAGCACAGATCTGGTTTTCTCAGCTGCTTCAGCTCAATCTTTTTTGTTTGTATTGGATTGATTTTTCTTAACCTAAACTTTGGTGACTCATGTGGCATGTTCTTTTTTTTTCATCATTTTTGTTTTATTCCATCTCCCACCTTTATTCCCAGTTGGATCCAGATAACCTTCTATGTCCCATATTTGCTCTTAGTTGCTTAATTGCCTTCAATGCTTTTTTCTGTTAGTTCCCTTTCCCACAGTTTTATTCTTTGGCACCACTCCCCAGTTTGTGACTTTTTTCTTCCTTCCTTACTAATTGGATTCAGCTTTTGATTCAATTGGCCTTTTCTTCCTTGTCTCCTTTTTCCTTGTGATCAATTCCTGGTGTCTTTGCTTTGATTATGCACCGTCCCTCTTACGTGCATCTCACCTTCATTGTATGTTGGAGATACTTCTTCCATCATGCACTGGGACTACACCTCATACGTTTATCTCCCATTATCTGCTTTGGGTAGCTGTTTCTTCCTCGTCGGGGTACCGTCTTCCACCTGTTGCCATCCTTCACTCTTTAGTGAGACTGTGAATGGGTAAAGATACCTTTTTGTATATATATATATGTTATTTTTCAGGAGCATGTCCCTTTTTTTCCTTTTGGATCCTGCTTTGTGGCAAGTGGTTCCTGTCCAGGTACACCTAAACCAGTCAAATTTGCATTGTAAGGCCATAATTACTTAAAAGTTATAATTTCTATGGCCACTAAATGCACACTGTTGAGATGGGGTGTTCCACAAGATCTCTTGTAGGTTTTCCTCAGGATATATTTGCTTCATTGATATGCCTGTTCCGGATTGTACTTACCCATGGACTTCATCGGTAAAGCAGAAGATAGCTTCCCTTTTCCCTGCCATGCCTTTGATTGAATAAATCAGATATTGTCTGATTTTCAAAACAGAATTTTTGTGGTTACCCATTGCACTGTCTCTGGTGTTGATGTTTCTTTGGACTCTCCACTGCATTTTCTCCCCCCTTTTTCTTCCAGTGGAGTACTGGAGTCCTTACCACTCTCCAGTTCCAAGCCAGTAGCCCATGAGAGTATCTTCCTGAATATGATAGTGATATACAATACAAAAAATAATTAATCCAATCAATTGAGAATAGGGCTGTTGTGTTCTGCTGATGTAGATGACGTGATGTCCTCCAATCTGTTGCTCCAACTTTGAATGGGTCTATCCAAGGGGTTGTTATAGCTTTGGAGTGAGCCCTCAAAATTGCAGTTCACCTCCTCGATTGAGATCCTTCATCCTACCTCCACATGGATGTCAGTTCCCAGTGACTGGGTTTTGGATTCAGAGCAGCACCAATCAACATAAGTCCTCACACATGTATTATTGGTGTCTCTGTTCCCTTATTGAATTGGCCTCATGTTCATTGCTAATGTGTTGTGGGTCACAGTGGATGAACATGTCAAGTGGGTTGCTACAGTTGTTCCTCTTGCACTACCACTCAAAGATTTCCATATACCAAGGATGATACTGCACTGGAGGTGCTCTTCGATTGCTTTCGAAGGGTGTTTCTTTCTTTCCCTTGCACTGGTCCATCCACCTATTCATTTTGGGATTCTAGTTTATCTGTGAGAGGAGGTAAGTTATCATATCAGAAGTTATAATTTTCTTATACTGAAAATGTATTTCCGATAGGTACTTACCTTCTTTCACACTTCTCACCCTTTCTCATCTCTGAAAACCGGTACTTCCATTTTCTGCCAAAACTCGAATTTATAGTTCAGTAGAATCAAATGAGGGAGTCATGCATCAGCAGGGTGTGTTGCACTCCTGTTGGTGGAGGGTTGTTGCATGATGATTTACAAGCGAGTTGCAGTTGAACCATGTTGATCTTGGAGTATATGGGAGCTCTAGGCTTGTGGCATGGGAAAATAATTTTGCATATAGAGTGCAGCACTGATTGAGAATAGCTATATCTGTGATAGGAGGTAAGTACCTATTGGAAATGTATTTTCAGTATAGGAAAATTATAACTTTAGACTTCATTAAAATAAGAATATAATTTGAAACTTTCAAGTCATTCATTATTTTTTTATTTATCAGGAGAATTTTGAAAGATATATTTTTAGTCAGTGGTTTCTTCTGTTTTCTGCTTATTCTTTCTTAAAGTTTGTGAATAAATTTCATCATAATCAAAAGCTTTATGATCTTGAAGTTTTGAAATTTTTTTTAAAATCAGTATTCTGATATATGGAGAAATATATATTAAAATCTAATCATTCCGAAAATGTAACACGTTTCAAAGGGAAAGATGTTCCTTATGCTGCTTAACTAACAGTAAGTTAGTTCGCAATATCTACAGTGCCCGTGAAAATATATCAATCAAAAACAAAATGTTTCTTAAAATTTTGTCTCCAGTTTTGATCAGAAATGTCTAGTTTGCTACATGAATTTCATAATCTTCATTTAATTTTGTGTAAACTTAACACTTCTCATTCATTTTATCTTATGTTTCCTTATCAATCTGTTTCATAATATGTTTTTAGTTGGACTTCAGTACTTTTTTCTAAAGGATGTGTTCCTGTTGATGTGGTTAAAACATAAGTAACAATATTCCAGGGTTTAAATAAGAGCATTCTGTCTGTTCCTTAATTATTCAAAGTTTAGTCATGTCATCTTTCTACATATCAACTGTATATCTAGTTTTTATTCAGATATCAAAAGTATTAAAATTGTGATAATCAATCCAGAACAGTCTTATTACTGAGAATTTTCTCCTCAGAAATAGAAACAAAGTTAAAAAAACTTGGATCTATCTTAGTGATCGTTTGACATGTTGGATAAGAAAACCATCTTGTACTACCTTCAAGGACTCATTTTTCTCCCTAAAACAAATAGGAAAAAAAAGACTACCATAATCGAATATTTGAATATTTTTTTATATATTGTTTCTTTTCGTATTATTTTTAATATAAACATTTGTAAAAAAAAAAAGAAAATTTGATAGTTGAATAAGGAATAATGTATTGTACGGTTTTAATGTTTGTCAGCAGCTAACTTTAATAAGTAGTAAGTTATTTTCCAAATGAAAGATAATCTATACAACCGAATCATATGTTGTTAAATGTATGTAGTGAGCAGCAGTAAAGGAGTGAATATTGACTAGAACAGGCTAGAACATTTTGCAAATATAACTTTAAGTCTTTTTTCTTTCCTATAGATTTTACTGAACAGTGCCATATGTTAAGTGGTCTTGTATGTAGAATACTTGGACAAAAAAATAAACTGACTCTTTTCTAATATAACATTATAAACTACATAATCTACATTTAATTTATATAAACCAAAGGTAAGTATTCATTTATTTAAACAGATGTCACTTTTCTTTCAAATACTGAAATTATGCAATTCCATCCCCATTAATGTGATCACATTACTAAAATGTTTTTAGTGTTTAGATTTCATGTTTTAAACTGTACATATGTAAACACTTTTCCAATATGAAATTTGGTTTTATGTACATATGACAGGCCATTAACCTAATTTGTTATATGTGTTTGCATGGGTATGTTGTGTGTCTTTTCATCTACCATTGAATGTGCAAATATTTTTTAAATTTTTTAATATTTTGTAGTAAATTGGAACATAAATGTAAGTATTCCAATAATCTTTGTTGGCAGAGGATACTTCATTAACCTGGTTCTGGAAGTCTAAGAATCTTTGTGAGGATTTTTTAAAATAAGTTTGGTTGAATTCAACTATTCAAGATTTATATCATTTTTTTTATTCATGCACCTTAAAGGCAATTTTTATATTGTTTAAAAGTTACTGAACCAATTTACTTCACTTCATAATGATTTTTTTTTCTTGCACAGGAAAAACTTAGGGAACATCTGAGGCATCACAATGGAGAAATATCCCGTCAAACTTTACGCCATAAAAAGTACAAATGTGATTACTGTGACAAGCACTTCCATGGTATTTCCTTATTAACAGTGCATGTGAGAACTCACACTGGAGAAAAACCTTTTGATTGTGATTTATGTTCTAAATCCTTTCCATCAATGGGTGCTCTAACTAGGCATAGACGCACTCATACTGGAGAAAAACCCTATGAGTGTTCTGAGTGTGGACTTAAGTAAGATGGGTGTAATTTTTATTTTTTCAAAGATATTGCTAATAGCTTAAATTTGAATTATTATTTCTGCATTTTCAGAAGTTTTTTGATACATGTACTGTATATAATTATTAAATAATCTCATATATTCTGGAAGGTACACAGTTGTAAGGTAGCTCCAGAATCTCGTAAACTTCAAAAATCTTTAATAATTTTAATTATAACTTCTAGTTATAGATATGAAGTATGTGTGACGTTATATGTTTTAATATTTAAACATAAAACATTCTAAAACAAAATTTAAATTCAAAGTACAACCCTCTTGAAAGCTTATATCTCATGGGAATGTTTCTAATTTTTTAATATTTTGGAATAATGGTGCAAAAAAAAAAATCTTTGGATTGGACATTTTTGGATAGAATAGAAAATTTTTAACTACCCAAAAATGCTTAGTTCTTTGAATTTTCTACCCCATTAGAATTATTCTTAAGAAATTTAATAAGTTCTCCATCTGGCCAGGAGATATAAGATTTCAACAGGTTTGATTTCAGGCTTTGCTTTGGAATATTTTTGTGTTTAAAAATACTAATCAATTAAAAAGTTTTGTGAGATTATGAAACTGGTAGTAGTAATTCAAAACTTTCTTTGTAAATAACATCAGTATGCCAGAATTTTCTAGTTTCTACTTTGTGAATGTTTCTTTTATGAGTTTGATAAACACATGTATATTTAGTAAATATTTATTGAAAAGTTCATTGAATTACTTTTTACTTGTATTACTGTAGGATTGTAAATTGTAACAGTTTTAAAACTGTTATATTTAATACCACCAAAGAAATGACTGAATTGTATTGCAACTTCAGGATGCTTAATATTAGTAAATGCTTAGGGAGGTATATCAGATATATATAACTATTAGGAAGGCTTCCTTTTTTTAGTTACATTTGTTACCACCAGAGAAATAACTGAATTATACTGGAACTTCAGGATTCTTAAAATTACCAAATGCTTAGGGAGTTTATCAGCTCAGTGTTGGCCTCAGGAAGTTCCAAAGCTGGAATTTGAATATTTTCAAGTTATTATATTAAAATACAAATAATAATAAAAAATAAAAACTTTTCAGTGGTATTAATTCTGTCTTTGGTTTTTACAACTATTTCTAATGAGATTTCTAGCTAAAACCAAACACATATACTTCTACAAATATTTTGCCACCTGGAACAAGCAGCAGCATTTACATTTGGTATTAGGTTCAAAAATATCATTTAACATGAAACAAGAATAATAAGTAAAATAAAACAAAGTTTTCTTGAAACTTAGATGTAAATTATATTTTTTTAAGAAAGTTTAAACCAAAATTTTCAATTTATATATGTCTTTAGTAAGAATTTAGGTTTTTGCATTCATTTCTAGAAAATATGGTATGTTTTGAATCTCTTACATTTGTCCATTAAGGATTTTCTTATTAATCTTGATATTTTTGGTGGAATGTCAAAGTTAAAAAGACAGTGTGATTTTAGCATGGTAACAGTCTAGAAATATAACATTGTTTAAAAAGTGGAATTCTGTATAAGAGAGAAAAAGTTGAGTATTTTGGTCATATAACCTACATCAGGTCAAAAGAGTAACATGCAGTATTAAATAGGGGTAATTTTCTGGTGTGTATGGAATAGAACCAGTGAAACAGGATATAAGCATTTAAAGAAGAGAAACTTTTAATTATAATGTACTCACAGTTAGAAACTAGAACCAAGTAGTGATGACAGGAGTTTGATTACAAGGATAGGATAACAAAGATACCAATAGGAAAACCAAAAATATGAAAATAGTAATAAGTGAATACACTGTATATTTCAATGAAATCTGCTTTCTGATTCTGTATTGAATTGTATTGCATTTAGTGCTAAATTCACTGTGGAAGGGAACTGCTTTTTATAATGTGTGAGAATTGCATATTTATCTGTGGTATTTTTTAAACTTTGTTTTATAGATTACAACTTAAAAGTCCACTGGAAAATTTTGTTCATAAACTTTTAAGTTTTGAAAAATAATTTATAATGCTTTGCATTGAAAATCAAAATTGGTTTTTAGAATGATTTTTTTTTGCTATTGTGTAAATCAATAATTAGTCATCTTTTTTCCAACAGATTTTCTTTGAACAGAACACTGAATCGTCATATTCAAATTCACACTGGAGTGCGGCCTTACAAATGCCAGTATTGTGGTAAAGAGTTCATTCAGTCTGGTAACTTAAAAGCTCATTTGTTCTACCACACTGGTGATAATGGTTTCCAATGTGAAGCTTGTGGAAAAACTTTCAATCGTAAAGCTCATTTGCAAATGCATATCCGATATGTTCATGAAAAAATTAAACCTTTTGAATGCCCTGAATGTGGGAAATGTTTTACCCGTAAAGAAGATATGACGCGCCATTTTACTTTGCATACTGGTGAAAAACCTCACCAGTGTCCAACCTGTATGAAAAGGTTTGCTATTAAACGAGCCTTGCAGATTCACCTGCTAACTCATAAGAAAGAAGAACCACGCTCTTGCTATGAGTGTGGACGAGCCTTCATTCGGAAGGACTGTTATTTGCGTCATGTTAGAGAACGTCACCGTGATCGCTTGGAAAAAGTTCTGATGGAGGAAAAGGCAGGCAAAAACAATGCAACCCTTTCAGGAGGTCAGCAAAACACAAATTAACCAAAAAAACTTCCTGATCTAGTGTTTTTTTAGTTCTTAGTTTTGTGAATCATGGTGCTGTTCTCAAGAGATATGCAAGATGAGTCAGTGAATGTGTACTCTTGTCATCCAATTTCTGCTCATACCTTAATAAATCATGATCATGTTAATGTCTCATTTAACTTTCTGCAAGAAGATTTCAAGCTGAATTTTACTTCTTTTATTCATTATAATGCTGACAGGACCTTACTAATAATACAAGAGCTTTATTTGTAAAATGATTATATATTTCTTTAGCTTAATCATGGCAGAAACACCAGAAATAAATCAGCTACGTCTGTTCAAGTTAAGAACTGTCATACATTTCGACTCCTACTAGTGGCTACTAAATGTTATATATGTGCTATTACCAAAACTGATGTACAACATTTATTAGTGATTGAGGAAGATACTAGCTGGTGTCAAAGCATAAGACAGGTTTTAACTATTTTTTTTTAATTTGAACAGTTGTAACTGAATATTTGGTTGGTGCTTCAACAAGCATTTATTTTTCACAAACTTTTAACCATTTGATGTAATATATATTTCTTATTTTTCAAATCATTCCAATGAATAAATCATTGGTTTGATATACCAAATGTTCTAATCTTCATAGTTATTTTAATGTAATCATTTCTAATAATTTTTCTGAAAATTATTTTTTGGAATTAATGTGCCTTATAACTGTCTTCCAGTCATTTTGAAAGTTTGAAGAGCTAATACAGTTTAGGTATATTTTTATTAGATTTGAAAGTCTCTTCACTTTTATATTATACAGACAGATGTAGAGCTTTTACAGTTGGTGAAGGTTTTGTTTGTTATTTGTTGTTTTCATGCCAAGGATTAAGTAAATAAGTGACTGTTCAATAAAAGTATTAGTTGCCAATTATTTTAATTTTTACCAATTGTTTTACAGCTTTTGTAATTAAATGACATTATAGAAATTAATTTTGTCCCTGATTTTTTATTCAGGCTGATTCTTTTCTTCTTATGTATGTGTTACATTGCTTATACTTTTTATTTATTGTATAAAACACTTATTGAAAACAAATGAAAATGGTTTTAGCATATTGGTTCTAATTTATCAGTTAAGTGGCTTTTGGAACATAATTTTAAGTAATTAAAAGGAAGTATTAGACATTTATGATTCTTAGAAAATATTTTTATGATATGTAAATTCTCTGTGTTTGGTGATTGACTACATGTTTTTCTTATAATAGTATGTTTTTATTTTGATATATATCTGCATATGATGATCTGAATACGATAAAAAAAAAGGTACAAAGAACCAGATAGTGTGTTGGGAGACATTTTATTTGATAAAAATTTGTAAATGTTGTTTTCTGTCATGGCCTTCTACATCCCCATAGACCTGCCTGCTTGTACCACCTCTCTCTTTCTTAAATGATAATTTTTTTAAATATGACAAGGATCACAAAAATATTAATATAAATATATATGTTTTTGGGATGTGTAACTTACGCTACGTTTTAAATATGACAAGGATCACAAAAATATTAATATAAATATATATGTTTTTGGGATGTGTAACTTACGCTACGTCTAACTTCTTCATGCAACATTATAGTATTAAAATATATAAAAAAAAATAATATTACAAATGTATAAGTACATTAATAGGAGGCTTCCAATAATTTAATCTTCTTTTTTTGTGTGTTTGAAGCCTTATCATTTTCTTTATGTCTTTATTAGCTAATTCCCTTTTTTAAGTTATCACAATGTTTTTTTCTATGTAGATTTTGCAAAAAATGACATTCTTCTGATAATTGGTACCATTTAAAGCATCCCACTGTCTTAATTCCATCATGTATTATTCTTTGGTTTACAATAGTTAAAGGTTTTATATTTATTGATATTTTTTGTGGAAAACTATTTTCAACCAATGCATTTGTGCAAGATAAGATTGATAGTTTGAATAATTTCCATAGGTCAATGAGTTTTTAGCATTTCTTAGCATTGTAATATAAAATGTATCAAGCTCAACATTATCATTCTCTGTAGAAATGAAATCTTCAAAATTGTCCTCAAAACAACCTTTAGCAGCATCACAAAGAAAAATTGTTTTTCTGAACAACTGACCGATATCCTGTTGTCATTATGAAAACATTTTAGAACAATAGCAAGTCAACTTTAGCCAAGATCAGGTTTTGTAAAATTAATAGTAGGATTCAAATTGCTCAAGCCATGAACTGTTTATAATTCAATGTGTTGTTTTCAATTAACTTGTTAATAGTGCCTTTCAGACTTTTTAAATCCAAGTTGAAATTATAATTTTTCTTTGTCAGTTGCTTTAGTTTCTTTCAGATGCTTTCTAGCAACAAATCCCAGACTAGTTTTGTCTAGGTCAAGCAGACTAAATACAACAAAGCAATCTTCTGTAGAAAAACTGTCAGCTTTTCAACCTTGATAATTCGTTTCAACAAACCATTTAATAGGTTAAAGAGCTCTTTATATAAGAAAAGTGCTAACATTTCAGAACTTTGAAATCTTCTTAGAAAGCTAACATTTTAAGAAAGCCAACTTGAATTTCAGGATTTATCTCTAGTCACTTCTTATAATGTCTTACACACTTTGCTTTGTTTTTATTTTGCTTCATGAAGATATTTCTTTACATTATTCAAACATTTGAAATGTTCTTTCTAGGCATTTTATGTTTTCTAACGTGCTACAGGTAATCCCAGTCTACTGTGCCTTTCAAACTGGTGTATTTTTACGTAAGTAATACAAATTTCTCAAAACCATTAGAAGATTCCAGTTTGCTAAATGAAGGCCACTTTTCACAGCTTCATGAACAGTATGAAATTACATGTTCCAAATGTAATCATCTGTGTGCTACAGGATCAGTACAATTTAGTTGCTCTTCCAGTTGCTTTATGAAACTAATACTAACATCTTTGGATATATGTATACGTGAAAGTCCTTCATTTGAAATATTTTGACAAATTCTTTCGCTGCAGCGTGGTCAAGAAACATGCTGTTTAAATAGCATGGCAATAAGATTTATTGAATTTCATCCCATTTGGCATCTCTGTACAACATGATTCAATGGTTCATAAAAGTATATCACAAAGTCATTACAAAACTTAACGCTATAATAGTATATCACTGAAATACTGTGCCAACCATAGTTAATTGTGTATGATTCCTTCATACTTCCTTATTGAAACTGTGATGCAGTTATACTACATTGAATAAAGTTTGAATACATAAGACATATCTGAAAACAATGTCGTGGAATATTGTTTTAATGTCTTCCATAGCTGAAATAATTTCAGCTTTGGTTACATTATCTTTTAATGTAAAAGACAAAACATGTCTTTCTTTTTTTCATTTGTCACTACAACTAGTCCACTTTCAGATTTCTGAACTTTTGGTTTAGATTTTTCATAATCAAATGGATCATTTGATGAACTTGGTCTTAGGAGGAATAATACTAGAGTAGTATGAGAAGATCTTGCTTTGTGAAATTTACAGTGATTAGGTCCTTTTTCATGTGAAATAACTGCTTGTCAACCATGGGTGTCTGCAGGGGGCCAAGGGGCACTTGTCCCTCCCTCTAGAAAAAGAGAAACATAATTATTTCTTTCCTCGTTCAGCATATGTTTATGAATTTACAAGTTTTTTATTCACTTCACATTTTCACATTACTTATTATACTTAATTTTCAATTCTAATAAAAGTCACCAGGTTACTCAGCAGGTTTACTTAAAATCTCTAGATATCTACCCTGTAGCTAAATATTGCAAAATGTTGCTACCAAAGTGGTTTCTTGGATATTCCACATGGCAATTCTCATTCAGGTCATCAAAGAGACCAACGTGGTCTTGCCGACACCTCCTGAGCCCTGACATGGTGTGATCTGGGTTAACCTGTTGGTAATACCAACAGCAGGTTATCAAAGAGACTGATGCAGTCTTTTTGTTCTTATTGTACATACACAATAAATGGTATTGTTCATTCCCCTTAATTTTGGCTTTTCTCTCTCTGGAAAAATTACTGCAGATGCCCATGTTGTCAACCCATGTTACTGAGTTGAAAGTCCTGAATCTAATAATAACATAATGCTTAGGGACAACAAGGGTCCTACAAGTCCATCTAGGCTGTCCCATCCTCTAAACTAATCTAAAACTATTTAATAAAAAAATAAAGAAGCCTCAAAGCCAGCCCTTATCATTTATATAGTTATGAAGCTTTCTCCTAAACTCACTTAAATTTATTGCTTCTATAACATCTGAAGGCAACCCGTTCCAAAGACCAACTACCCTGTTAGAAAAATATAACTGTCTCAGATGAAGATAACTCCTAACCTGCCAAAATGTATATTTGTGTCTTCTAGCCCTACCATTCTCACCATTTAAGTATGAAAAAATGTGACGCATCAACACTATCAGTTTCCTTAACAATCTTCAATACCTCAATCAGATCACCTCTAACTCTTCTTTTTTTCAAGAGAAAACGATGTTAGAGATCCTAACCTTTTCTCATATGGCAGCCCCTCAATCTCAAGCAACATTCTAGTAGCCCTCCTCTGAACTCTTTCCAACAATTCAATGTCCTTCCTAAAGTAAGGAGTTCAGACTGAACACAGTATTCTAAATGTGGCCTAATCTGTGACCTATATAAGGAAATTATAACCTCTTTAGACTTGTATTCAATATTTCTGTAGATACAACCTAAAATTCTATTTGCCCTACCACTAACAACAACACACTGCTTGGATAGCTTAAGAGACTGATCAACCACTACATTAAGAACCCTTTCTTTCATAACATTTTAAAGGTTATTCCCATCCAAAGTATACTTATAATTCAAATTTTGATAACACACATGTAATATCTTATTTTTATTATAATTAAAACCCATCTGCCATTTATTTGACTAACTCACTATGATCTAAATCATTTTGTAAAGCAGCATTCTCCTCCTCACAGCTAGCAACACCCAAAACCTTAATACTTAATATCAACATAAAATTTAAGAAATTTATTGACCACTCCTTCATCTATGACATTTATGTAAATCAAAAAGAGCAAAGGTCCCAAGACTGAACCCTGAGGTACCCCACTTGTGACATACTATAGTAAGTCTGTCCATCATATTTCTTTACATTACTCAACCAACCCAAAACTTTGGATTAATGAATGCATTGAGCTAATAAAGGGCAAAATATGGCTTTTTTTTTTTAGATGTAATTTTCAATGAAATGTGGAAAAAAATGGCAGAAAATATTAGTTTAAATAAAAAATACCATATAGTACTTGAACTGTGACTCCAATGAGATAAATTTCATCATACAGCTCAGGATTGCCAGTTGCTGTTGATCATTATTAAATGCTGATATAGCAGAAGTTATACATAGCAAACTATTTGGATTTTCAGGATAAACTTACTTTTATAGTGACAATTATACTAGGTGGAAAATATTTTGTCATTTTCTTCTTTCATGTTAGTATAAAAGATTTTACATTTTGTTTTTGATTTCGATATTGTTATTCTATGACTTTCTAACTAATAGTACAGTTTGGGGGATTTTAAGGTAAGAAATAACTTCCTGACAAGCTTCAGGTAGTTGGAGCCTTAGTGAGTGTTAAATAAGAAGACTGGATAAATTTACTAAAAAAAAGGAATACTATCTTTATTATAAACACAACATACATGTGCAAACAGAATCACAGTAGCTTCTATTGGATAGTGCTTAGCTCCATACCTTTGTTCTTTTGGGATGGACCTCCTTCAAGCTAAATATGACAATCTTAAAGTAAGTCTTTAATTGAAGAACTACGGGTAAGACTGAACAAGAAAACATGCCTGAATTACAACATGTAATCTCTGGTTCTTTGTCTAGTCAACAGTATCACCTTGTTGGTTATTTGTACTTGTGGAAACTGATTTATAGAGGTATTGCTTCAATATTTCATAAAAAGACCAATTTGTACTTAACTGATCTAATTATTGAAATTACACACACTTGTATATTGTATCTAAATATTTCATGAAATGACCAGTTTGTATGTTAATTGGTCTGCTTGTTTTTTATCATTGGCACTTGAGTTAAAGTGACAAAAGTCCGATATTTACTGATTATCCTAGCAGTAAATAATGTGAAAATGGCCTAGAATGTAATAGAGAGCAAATACTGTAGACCCTTCTGGTTTCTGGGGACGTAGTCATCCTCAGACCCCCAACCTTTGTGGGCTGTGATCAAGGACCAGCCAAAAGTAATTTGCTGTTTTCATCCCTGATTTGTAGAAGTATACTTGTTAGTTAACACAATATGCCATTCTGCAAATAAGTAACTACAATTTGAAATTATTAAAAATGTATGTCATCAGAAAACATTGCAGTAATATGTAGTACTAATCAGTATTTAAAATATTTCCTCATTATTCTGCCATTAAAATTGTACAATGAATAAATCAAGTCCTTTTAAATGCAACCTTAAAAC